TGCACCCATTTCCGGAGTTACTGAAGGAAGTGTTCCACTTTAACAAGTAAGTAATCTAATAACCAAGACATAGGGCCCAGGAAATGCAGACTCCAGCCCAAGAGAGGAAAACAAATCCCAGGACGATGAAGTCTCAGGAAACAGCTGTATACATGGGTAAGAAAGAAATTAGTTTAGACTAAAACAAGTATACAGTAGAGCTTTGACCATGTCGAAAACAGATTTAAAGAAAGTTTTACCTATTTGGGACTGTTTTGGAAGAATTAGTGATGTGTATGTAAAACCAAAACAAAATGTTGAGAATGGAAATACAAGCACAGTAAACTAGTTCAGGAATGAACACAGAAATGTGGTCGCTATAATGCAATGATGCCAGTTTAATGAAAAAATACTGGGAGAATGAGAAAAAAGTAAAAAGGCAGAAACCTTCATCTATCAAATAGGAAGCTGTCAGAGGTTTCTAAACATAGTAAATTATAAATAAGCAGTATAAGCCTATTACTCAGAAATCTGAAACCAAGGCACTAGGAAAAACCTCAAGGCTGAAATGCCCTCCTAGGAAGGGAATGGAAAAGGAGGAGCCAGGAGCTAACATTTTTCCTTACAGTCCTTGCAGTACCATTAAGCTATGTATATAGATCATTTAATAAAAATTCATTATTTAAAAGTATGTATACATACAGGAAATTGACAATTTAGGGGGCAAAAACACTACTTGCAATCTCTTTTCCACAGTTCTAACCTACTTGGGAGTACAAGGAGGTGACAGCATGCACACTCAAGTTCTGGATTCGAAGGCAGTCTTCCTCTGCACCGGATCTGAGGGGTGGGCCGGACACTCGCAGCAGCAAGAGCGCCCCCTCAGGCCAGCCCGTGTGCAAGGAGGGGCCCCATCAGACCTCCCAGAGATGTGGAAAATGCAGGAGAGGAAGAACGCTAGTTTGTGAAGTACCTTCAATGATTTTGGTTCTTCTCTACAGTGTACATGCTTCCCCACCCCTCGTACCTCTTATTACTGTTTTCCGTATCAATACCAAAGAAATCAGTAACTAGAATCCCAATGATATGCTATAATATTATTCTACAGTAATATTCCCAATGACATTGCTACATTTTTTTCATTTATTTTCATGTGTCCAAATATACAAAGTAAGTTTTGTCTCACTCCCTACCTAGGTTGGTCATTTTGAACTCTACTTCAGACCCATAAATGTTTCTTCTACTAGAAAAGAAGCACTTTTTATGTGAAAAGATCTTTATTTCAAAATACAAGAATATAGCAGATAAAATGTGTTAGTACCCTCAGAGGTCAACGTTAGCAGCCTTTCTGGCATATGCTAATTCTTCATGAACTCCCAAAAGCTGGACTGAATGACCTTTAAGTGCAGCTGTTAAGGTCTCATGGTATAATTCTCTATGTTGATCCCAGTGACAAAATTAAATTAGGTTCCATTTAAAAGTTAAAATATAGCAGCTTTTCCAGAAGAACTAGCTCCCAAAACTGTATCCAGAACTCACCTATCTAACATCTTAAAGTTAAATACCTTGTATATTTACATCATTATAATCAATATTTTTGGACAACCACAGTATAAGAAATTTAACCTTGGGTAATAGTTTTCCTCATTATGAAATCAAGTGAAATACTGTATTTTTGCTCTCTTCATAAATAGAAAATGACCAAACATTACACTTTATTTATGTTTAATGATTTACAGAGAATATTCAATAATCAGAACTCACCATTTGCAATACTGTACACATTAAATTATAATATAACCCCTGCTACAAAAGCTATCTAAGCTGACCCTAGAGAAAAACTGTCTCTAATTTAAATACATTAGAAATTACCAAAAAAAAAACACCAAAATTAGAAAGTGGTCTTCCAAGTGCTGAAAATCTAGAAGAATTCTCCAACATCTGCTCTCTTATCTCGACATTTGCTTCGAGCTTTCGTTCGCGCTTTGAAGGCTGCGGAGTTATACAGGTGCTGAAATGAAGGAAACGAAAACACACGCGGATCACTAAAGCTTAAGATAATCTGATAAAGACAAGGATGAATAAAAATCACAAAGGAAAGAAATGAGCTAACTCAACCTTATCAATATTTTATTTTATTTATTTATTTTTTTAAATTTATTTATTAGAGAGAGAGAGAGTGAGAGAGAGAGCGCAAGAGGGGGTAGGGTTAGAGGGAGAAGCAGACTCCCCGCCGAGCAGGGAGCCCGATGCGGGACTCGATCCCGGGACTCTGGGATCATGACCTGAGCCGAAGGCAGTCGCTTAACCAACTGAGCCACCCAGACGCCCCTCAACCTTATCAATATTTTAAATGTTTATAAAACACACACAAAGAACCAGAGGGAAAATTAACACATAATAGATGATAGATGTTCTGTATTAAAGAAAAAAATATTAATCAAATATGTAAAATACCAAGAAAATGCCAACAAAAAGTTTTAAAAAATGCATCAACATTTAATCTGTTCAAAGAAAAAACACATCATGAACTAAAGTGAAAATACCCAAAATATCCAGTTAATTAAAATAGCAAGGAAAAAAATAAGGTTCCATCTTAATGCCAATTAAACTAATGAATATTTTAAATCATAAAATTCAATGCTGTCAAATATGTAAGAGCTACATGCCTTCATTCATTACTAGAAATAATTAAAAATGACAGAGTAACTTTAGAAGGTAATTTGGCAGTACATATCAAAAAAGTCATAATCTGGCCCTATATTCCCATGTAAAGATTTCTTCGGAGAAAAAATTCAAAAGAGAAATAATGTAAAGATACTAATACTAATCCAACAAACAATTATATGACCATAAAAATGATTAACTATAAAGAGTCTATAAAAATATAATTAAGCACTTCAGGGGTACCTGGGTGGCACAGTCGGTTAAGCTCCGACTCTTGGTTTCGGCTCAGGTCATGATCTCAGGGTCGTGAGATCAAGCCCCACACTGGGTTCTGCGCTCAGCACGGAATCTGCTTGAGATTTTCTGCCTCTGCCCCTCCCCCAAACCGCACACTTACACGCACTCTCCCAAATAAAAGCTTTAAAAAAAAAAATACATATATGATTAAGCACATCACTCCCACTAGTATGGCTATAATTTAAAACAAAACAAAAACAAAAAAGCCAGAATAACAAGTGTTGATAAGGATATAGAAATTGAAACTCTCATACACTGCTGGTGGGAACGCAAAATGGTTCAGTCCCTATAGAAAATAGTTTGGCAGTTCCTTAACAAATTAAACATATAACTACCATATGACCCATCAACTCCATTCCTAGGTATATACCTAAAAGAATTGAGAACAGGTGCTCTAACAAAAACTTGTACACAAATGTTCACAGCAGCACAATTCACAATGGCCAAAAAGTGGAAACAAGCTAAATGTCCATCAATGGATGACTGCATAATCATGTGGTGTATCCATCCAACACAACGGAGTATTATTCAGCCACAAAAAGGACTGAAGTACTGGTATGTGCTAGAACATGGATGACCTTAGGCAACATAATGCTGAATGAAAAAAGCCACACAACAGGTCACACATTATTAGAGCCTATTTATATGAAATATCCAGAAAAGGTAAATGCAGAGACGGAAAGGACACAAGTGGTTGCCAGCAGGTGGCGGGGAGGGGAGAGGGGAGAATGGGAAGTGGATACTTAAAGGTATAAGTTTCCTTTTGAGGCGATGAAAACATTTTGAAACTAGACAGACAGTTGTACAACATTGTGAGTGTACTAAATGCCCTGAATTGTACACTAAAATAGCCTATGTTACGTGAATTTCACCTCAGTAAAAACATAAAAATATAATTAAGGATTTTTGAAAGGTTAAGTGACATTGTAAGTAACATCACAAATCTCTAAGCACGTTTCCTCAACTTGCAAAATGAATCTGGTACTTACTAAGTAGGTTTAGTTATCTGATACAAAAGAAGCACTATGTAGTAAATATTTATTCTTTAATAAAGGAGTTAACAGAATGAAAGAAAACAAAAAAGGAAAATACTTTCTATGTTAATAGGATTGTGGATAAAATTTATTCATTACAAACCCTCCGTACTCTAAATGCAGTTAAGTTTCTACAATTTTAATACAGCTGTTGTGTCTGAAACAGCATGAGGCACCAAAGGCCCCCAGACTCCACTAAATGCCTATCACCTGGTAGAATCAAAGCGTCAGCTCCACTTTTCTTCAGGGTACTTAGTTCTGATGAGAACAAAAACAAAACCTACCCTTTCAAAACGAGAAATCTTCATCGTTTTAAGTGTTGCAGCATCAAGCATCACCGGGGGTCCAAGTTCAAATACATTACGAAGGAATTCATTTGACTTCGGTAAAATAGAAAGGTAATAAGGCTCATTATTAAATATCAGCTCTTTTTTACTACATAAAGTGAAATCTGATTAATAGAAGTTATGTGGAGCTTATAAATAAGAACTTAGGTCACTTATTTTCTGTTTCTCTTTGTAAGACTAAATTGTTTCTAATGCCTTGAGTCCAGTAAAGTTATGAGGAAAGCAACAGCGCTCTACCGAATTTATAGATGCTCCACCGGATTTATACAATACAAAAAGAACAGTTTCATACTTACTCAATTCTACTTTAAAAAATAAATGTAAAATAAATACATAAATAAACTGTAGTTTTGTATTATGCTGAAAGCATTCTGCCCATTCAGTGAACTACATTCAAAACTGCTCCCTAATTTAAAAGCAAACACACAGAAAAGAGGTCACTCACTCACCTGCAAATGATACTGCATCCCTGATCCAAGAACTTCCTTAAAGGTGTCATAGGTATGTTTTTTGACCCAGCAATCAATATACATTCGTTCAGGGCCAAATTTAACAGTTTCTGTTGGAAAATCCCGTTCCTAGACAACAGAAGAACCAAAATTTTAAGAGGAATTAAGATGACTTAAAGAGATCCTACAAAAATACAATTTCTAAACAGACACATTTACGTGCTGAGGTAAGAAAACAGTTTAAACTGATATTTCCATCCCTGAGATGTGAATAGACTAGAAAGTATTATCCTAATAAGGGTGTAGAGCTTGTCTAGTTGTCACAGACTTGGCACAACTGAGTTCGGATAAATATTACTGGCCAAACCACATTGTTGTGAATGTCTTTAAATTTCAGTAGCACACAAGAAACCTGAAGAAAAAAAACAGTTTTCTGTACCGGTCTACAAATGGGGGGTGAGGTGGGGAGGGAGGAGGAAGAGGTGTCAATGATAAGATGCCAGTGGTGGAGCTGAGGGGAAGCAGGGTCGAGGGAACATAAATGGGGTCAAGAGACCAACCAAAAAGTAGAGGACCAGCAACTGCAGGGCTCCAAGGGTCTAAGAACAGGCTTATTAAGAAAATGAGAGCGGGTGCGACTGGGTGGCTCAGTCGGTTAAGCGTCCGTCTTCAGCTCAGGTCATGATCCTGGGGTCATGGGATCGAGCCCCACATGGCTCCCAGCTTAGCGGGGAGCCTGCTTCTCCCTCTCGTTCTGCCTCTCCCCCCACTCATGCTCTAATAAATAAAATCTTAAAAAAAAAATGAGAGGGAATACCTGACTTTAAGACTTCAGAGATGGAACAATTTTGCCAGAAGACAATTTCTAAAGTATAACCCTGAGAGAGAATCAAGTGAATGGAAATAAATGGAAGTAAAGATCACTGGAACAAATACAGGATAGGGTTTTCCAAATGCACAGAGGAGTCACCCAGAAAAGGGGGCAGAACTTGGGATGAAAAACACTGGCCACTCCATTGTTTGATGAATCATGACTATGAAAGAGTAACAGGAAGAAAACAGGAAGAGATCACCAGGGACAGGAGAAAGGAGACGGAACCTGATCACTCCAATCGTCTTCCCCACTAGCAGCCCCCTTCTTTCTCAGCAGACACAGCATCTAACATGGAAGAAAATAACGTGAACTCTAGACTTACCCAAGTGCGTCACTCATTGGCTTGTCATTTTAGCAAGTAATTTAACCCCTTTGGGTCTGTTCCCCCGCTCGCCAAGTGGGGCTTTCCATCCCTCTACCACAGTTATTACAAGTGTAAGACAAAGTCTGTGAAGCACACAGAGTGCCTGGTCTGTTACAATAGCTCAAAAAAACCCACCAGGGTTCTATTATTTCAGCCTTCCTTATTTCAAAAAATACTGAGACACCAGGAAGGAACTCCCTCTAAACTCAACTGCATCCTCACCAACTCCTCTCCTAAATCTCTCCAGTTCAAGGCAAATCATACCGTTTACATCATACTCTCAATCTTTCATTTATATTTTCAAATGCTCCCTTCTCCACAGGTTCCTTCTCCCATAAACCCCATCCAGCATCTTAAGCAAGACACAATAATACACCCTCCCCCAGTCCAGTGGTCAACTCTCTTCCCCACGTTTTAAAAAAGAACAGTTAAGACACACCATCTCCACTTCTTCACTTCCCATCCACTTTTCAATCCAACCCAGTCAAGCGTTTCTGCCATCCCTCTACTGAAGCGGCACCTGTAAAGGTCATCCACCAATGACCTAACCGAAAAATCCAATGGACACTCTGACTCTCTCTCACTTGCCCGTCTGCAGCACTTGGCCCTGATGAAAGACAGCACAGTACAGTGGGTTCACATTCCAGCTTTGCTACTTACTGCTCTTTAACTATGCCTTTAGTCTCTGTTTTTCCTTAAAAAGATAATTCTGTTGCTTAAGTGTTATAAAGGAACTGAAATAAGAAAACTGTATGTCAAGGCACCCAACATATTAAATGCTTGCTGATTTAAGAAATACATGATCTTAAAGAATGATTCCTTAGTGAAAAGAAATGACAGGCAGCAACAACTACATCTAAAATGGAGAATTCTCCTCTGTAGCAGTTTAATAACCTCCATCCATCAAGGAAGCAGCATCCTTCAGAAAAAACTGGGTTCCAGTCAAAGCAAAGAAACAAACACCTAGCGAGGCTGTAGGGCCAGCCCTTTCTCTGGCAGGTACATTGAAGCAGAGCTGGAGCACAGGAAAGCCAGTCAAAGGGCAGGGGAGGAACAGAAATCCTGAGACGGAGAGGAGAGGGTGTTTAAGGCCTGGGAGGGAGAACACCACAGGTCAGAACTGTGAGGCAAAGAAAGGGCTTTTACTTTTTGTAGTGCTGGGCAAGAGCGATGGGCACACGAGAGACCTGTTAAGGCTGGTGTACACTGAGATTTGGCTTGTGTCTTTCTCAGGAGAATCAATACTGTGTGCTGTGGCTGGCTTACACTGATGGATTTGTCAATAGGGTCTGCTCAGATCCTTTTGACTCTTAAAATCTATTATCCAGAGAGAATGCATCCAGACAGAAAATGTGATGTTAGGTCTAAACCAGAAAACCCACAACATGCCGTTATCTTATCTTTGGAGGCAACATTATCCAAATAGAGGAGTAGTTTGTAAAGATTTTACTTATTTATTTGAGAGAGAGAGCGAGCACGAGCAGGGAGAGGGGCAGAGGGAGAAGCAGACTCCCTGCTGAGCAGGGATCCCCATGCGGGACTCGATCCCAGCACCCTGGGATCATGACCTGAGCCGAAGGCAGATGCTTAACCAGCTGAGCCACCCAGCCATTAAGAAAATGGCTTAATCTGGGGATACCACCGAACTAAAATTTTAAGATCAAAAGGATGAATTGTTAACAGAGATGTCTGCTCAAGTTTGGGGATTTTATTTTGTGTTTTAGATTATAAAAACCAGAGTAAATATAAAATATTATTATAATGCAATTAGAGTTAGCATTAACCAAAATGTTCAGATCCTAGAAGATCTCAATACTTATACCCTAGGTTTTACTTAGATTAAAATGAAGAAAGTAGTTCTTAAGCAGGCTGTGTATGAGAATCACTGGAACATTTCAAACCTGGACCTGAATGGGGTCTTAGCATCTTTATTTTTTTTAATTCCCACTCTAAATTTTCATATACATGTCAGGTTGATGACTCTGGTGACATACTTATTCCTAAATGAACTGCCCTATCAGATAGCAAGAACCTGAGATATTTATTCTTTATATTCAAGAAATACTTCTTACCTGGCAAAAAAAAAAAAGACTTAGGTATTCTCCACAGTAAAACTGCCCATATCCTGCAGTTCCTTTTAACCGTGCATTCTATTCAAATCCCTGAAAGTTTCTTTCTTTTTTTTTTTTTTAAATATTTTATTTGACAGAGAGAGACACAGCGAGAGAGGGAACACAAGCAGGGGGAGGGGTACAGGGAGAAGCAGGCTTCCCGAAGAGCAGAGAGCCCGACGTGGGACTCGATCCCAGGACCCCGGGATCATGACCCGAGCCGAAGGCAGCCGCTTAACCGACTGAGCCATGCAGGCGTCCCCCCTGAAAGTTTCTAAATCAATTTATTTGCCAGGTAGATTGAAACAGGTTAGAAGACTGTAGAACGTACTCAGGCATCAGATGATTTTAAACCCTTATTTAAAGGCTGGGTTTTGTTATTTCAGTTTTTAGCACGTAGGCTTCCCTGAGAGAATACAAAGGTCTTTGTTTAAAGTACTGAGGGGTAGGCAATAATCTCCACTCAGAAAAAAACTGTACTAAATACCTATGTGCTAAGCACCACTGCTTAAATGATGGCAAGTACAACAAAGTGAAATATGCTTTTGTAACTATAAAATTGTCGTATTTTTTTTTTTTTAAAGATTTTATTTATTTATTTGACAGAGAGAGACACAGCGAGAGAGGGAACACAAGCAGGGGGAGTGGGAAAGGAAGGAGCAGGCTCCCAGTCGAGCAGTGGGCCCGATGCGGGGCTCGATCCCAGGACCCTGGGATCATGACCTGAGCCGAAGGCAGACGCTTAACGACTGAGCCACCCAGGGGCCCCGAAATTGTCATATTTTTTAACCTAAAAAAAAAAGTACCTTTATGCATCAGAATTAAATTTTCCTTTGTTTAAAAAAAAAAAGTCATCTTTATGTATATTGTTAAAAACCAGGCTTAAAAGGAGGAAACTGTTTTGATCAAAAGTGAAGTTCAATAAAAAAAAAAAAAGACCCAATCATCCAGTGTAGCCTAAAACAATCTCATTTCAAAATGAGTAGCAGGTGCCTGGCTGGCTCAGTCAGTGGAGCATACAACCCTTGATCTTGGGGTCATGAGTGCAAGCACCACGGTGGGCACATGCAGTCTACTTTAAAAAAACAAAGGAGTAGCCATTATAGCATTAAGAGACCTACCTCCACTGCCCTCAGGATGTCTCTGAACACCGATCGCTGCTTTCTCTTGTCCACTTTGGCACGGTGCTTGTTTCCATCTGTAGCCAAGGCCCTAAGCATCTGCGTCAAAGATTCCATGTCTTCGTAAAAAAAGTCCTGGTCAGGAAAAACAATTTTGTTTAGTTCGTTATTGGGTTCCCCCACCCTCAATCTTTCCTAGTGCTAACAAAGAACACTCCACTCTGGAAAATACCCAGCAGGGGGTAAAAACAGCACCACAAATCTCTGAACTCTTTAAAGATCTTGGTGCACAGGCACACATTAATGCATTTATAACATCATGCAAAAGTTTTAATCCAGAAATGCTGACTATGAGATGATATACTACCACTAAAAAGTTAACATTCCCCTTCCAAGTATATCCAGATACATTCAACAAATACTTATTGTGCTGTTGTGTGCTGTTTCAAGACATTCCTGGGATTTCAAAGAAGTTCAGTGAAACTGAGATACCACAAATACCAACACAGCTTCTATTCTTTGGCTCTTCAGTCCCCAAAGCACACAACCCCAGAATTCCAAATATTCTTATTCCAAAAGTACAAGCTATCAGTAATGCCTAAAGCACCTAATTTCTAATATACTGGCCATATTTCAAATAAGCAATAAAGCATTTAAATCAAATTGAGTCATTAATTACTCAAGCTAAGAAAATATTTTAATCCCTTTTGAAGAGAAGCCACGAAATGTATTACTATTTGCTATTACTTTGATTTGACCCCCCTCCAACAAAAAATTATCCAGCCCAGTAATATATCAACAGTGCAGAGGTTGAGAAATCCCGCTGTAATTGACCTCTGCAATCAGGAAAACTCAATCTAGTTTACAGTCTGAATCACTGAGTTCGATATAGTACTAACTTGGAAAAATAAATATTAAATATTGTACGGAAATGTCTCCCTAACATGTTTGGGCATTAAAAAGAAAGAAAATGTAAAACATAAAAAACAGTCCATAACTAGCTTCCAAAAGCCAATTTACTGGAGTTCAGGATAACTCTACAGTAAAACTATATGCCCAGGGACAAATGGGCTCTTGGAGGTACAAATAAACACTTTAACTCCTATCAATAATATAAAGAAAACAGCATAATCATTATCACACAAAGGTGTGTGTGTGTCTGTCTGTCTCTTTCTTGCAGCTCTTCCCACATCAGGTTAGGTGGGGGATAAGAAAGGAAGAACTGGGGAAGGTCTGTCTATACTATATTTCGGTATATTTTCCTGAGTCGGCACATTATGTGGCTCCCAAGATCTTTAACTCTGCCCAGTAAATAGTCTTTGTCTTACTATAGGTTATGCTAGAGAGCTCCTAAAAGGCTACTACTAAAAGATCACTGCCAGAAGGGGGAGTTAATCCTCACTTTAATGAACAGTTACGGTAATAACCACCACTTACACTGTATCTATCTATGTTCTCAACAACCCTATAAGGTAGTTACTATTTTATTCTCCATTTTAAAGATACCGATACTGAGGCATAGAGAAGTTGCCCAACATCATCCAACTAGTAAGGGTGGAAAAGAGATATGAACCTGGGAGTATGGCACAGAGTGCACTCTTACCTGTTTGGTTATAGAGCAAACAGAGAGCTCTCACAAATAATTCCTAATTCTTCATGTCAGCTTATAATCATCTTAGCAAAAAGCTCTGTATATTTCAATGCAATGAATTTGCTACCAAAACCCTAATTTAAATCAGCCTATGTATTCATCAACACACGGTTTAATTAATTTTTTGAACACCCTGTAACTACCCCCACCGCAACCACACACTCGCTCCTTTCAAAAAGCTTACTTAACAAAAATAGCAAACAAAACACTAGGCTCTGTTTTGTAACCCAGGTCATTTTTGTCCTTAAACAAGGACTTATCCAAACATGTTTAATCTGATCTGAGTTCTCCTAGCTATCTCATATGATTTATTAAATGCAGAGAACACAAGCTATGTGAGCAACAATAAATGTATATTTACAAATTTTTTTAAAAATTCAACATGTATAATTTAAACTGTATTATTACTTTACTTTTAAGATACACTTCAGAGGAAAAAGAAAAGAAATTACCATTTCTCGCCCACCGAAGAACAGAAGATTAAAAAACTGGGACATCTGGCTTCTGTGCCTTGAGGTTAAGGAGCCATTAACTAGTTCAATAAAATTAAATTGATTGCTAAACTTGAGTCAATTTCTCATGTAAGTAGATTCATTCACTACTGAAAGCATTAATAACTTCTTTCCATTCCTACCCTGCTATCCTTCAAAGAAAAGGGGAGAGGCTGGGGGAAGCCTAAAAAAGACACTTCCCAGATATTTTTAAACACAGGACTAGAATGGAATTATTCACTGTTAAATAACATATTTAATTCCAGAAAAGGTTTCATTCCAGAAATATAGTCTTTGTTCTTACATTAAAAAGCAGCTAGTAAGTAAGCCAAGGTTCACAACAGAGGATACAAACCAGGGTGACCAAATGTCCCAGTTAGCCTGAGATGAAAGGTTTCCTGGAAGACAGAATTTTCAGTGCTAACCCTGCAACAGAACCAGGTAAACTGGTAAAGTTGGTCACCTATCACAAACTCAAATACCTTTGAGAGCCAAATTGAGGTAATAAACATCCATGGACAGACAGTGGGTGGGGAACTGCAAAGCACATAATCCAGTCTAAAGGGCCATGTTTGCTTTCAGCTTTGGCTTAGAGAAGTTAAACAACCGTGACTAAACTCATCTGATCTCAAACCTATCTCGACTCAGTATTTCATCCATTTGTCTGACATTTATTATAAAGCATCCATGACTAAGTCACCTTAATGTGCCCTGTGTCTGAGAAATCCAAGCAGATCCACACAGACTGTAGTAGACAACTCTCTCCATGAGTAATAGCGTCCCTAAACTTGAGTTCTACAGACAGCAATAGTTAAGTGTAATAAACTACACTCAAATGTTGCTCTATCAACCCCTACCCGTTTATGCTCTTAAAATTTTTGTATCACCACCGCCAAGAAGCAGGGCAATCAGTCACTTTATTCTCAAGGTGGCCATACTCCAAAGTTATCATCCAATTCTTAATTATGAAGAGAATGGCAGAATAATGGTCCTTGCGACACAATCTTTTTCCTCTATTCATCAGATACTTACACTCTCCATCCCTCTGGCCAATTCAAACATAAGTGCCAAAGATTCACCAGCAGCTATTCTCATGTTGACATCATCAGAAGAGAGGAGGCTTGGAAGTTTATGGAAATGCCTAAAAAACAGTCATTACTGTGTGAACACAATCAGTTATGTCAATAAATGTTGTTTTTCTAAAATATGAAGCTAAGAGTACATACATCTCAAGCTTTTTCTTCACTTCATTGATTGGGCATATGGTCAGTAATAATGTCCATGCAAGAAGAGAGCTGATATGAAGCACTGTATTAGGGGTGCTGCATATAACATTAGTGTCTTTCTCTTTGAGATAGGACTTGGTGAAGATACTTTCCAAACATTCCAGAGTTGAATACAGCTCCTAATGCATAAGAACATGAAATAAGGTAACCACCTTCAAACCACATTTGAAATGTGCAAATAAGAGGAGTCAAGGGTTTTCTACTTACAGTAATGTCATCTGTAGCAATAAAACAGCAAACACCAAAGCAAGTTGCACACTAAAAAAAAAAAGAAAAAAAAATACAGACATTAATGTTTATAATTTTCTTATTATTTCCATATCTTCCTGCTTTTATAATTCAATGTGAAATTTTTCTCAACTACATGACTACATTGGTCCCAAGCATAGAATAAAAAGAGAGAGGGGTGCCTGGGTGGCTCAATGGGTTAAGTGTCTGCCAGGGTCCTGAGATAGAGAGTCTGCTTCTGCCTCTCCATCTGCACAGCCCCCCTCCCCACTCATGCTCTCTCTCTCGCTCCCAAATAAATAAAAATCTTAAAAAAAAAGAATACAAAGAGAGAAAGAATACAGGATCAAGAATTAAGGGAAGTGGGTTTCAGCCCAATCTCTGCTACCAAACTGACAATACAACTTTAGGAAAGTTACTCAACTTCTCCCAGGTCTTCCTTCTTTAATCCAACAGATCCTTTTTAAACTTCCAACTCCAACTCAAAGACAGAGATGAAGTCTGCACATTGGAGATAAAGAAGCCTACTCTATTAAAAACCTTTAAAACACATTAAGTTTGTTTTAGGCTTTTAAGCATTTAAAACCATTTATATTCATCTCTTTTCACGGAAGACTCTACTATGAAAACTTCTAAAAGAAATCAGTTGCCAAGAAATAAGCACACCAGGAGCAGAAATCTAAAATTTAAATAACTGTCCTCAAACTTGCCACCTAAAGAAGGGTCTTATTAATTCGGATTTCACTTTTTTCCACATATGCTGAAAACTGGTCAGGAATCCTATAACTGCCTTTTGTTAGGGGAAAAAAGAGGCTTTGAAACAAGTGATGACACTACAGGATTACCACGGTATAAGTTACCTAAGAAAACAGAGCTCAGAATACAAAATTTATATACAATCTGCTTGCAACATAAACGGGAGCCATTAGTTTTCAGAACACTGCTCTAAACAAATAAATCCTATGAAAACAATTTCTAATCTGTGAGATTTTTTTTATTCTCTCCATTTCCCTTTTCTCCATGTTTTCACTAAAATCCTCTCATCTTGTTCCAAGTGCCACTAAAGCGTGAAGTCTTTAAGTCACCATTCACACACCCAACTTCCCGGTATCCTGAAGACATTTGTGGCATTCATCTGTTCAGTGTCACTATTTTATTTTCATTATTTCATCCTAGTAAAAACTGGACACTGCTAAAATTAAAAAGTAGTCTAGGCATTATTCTCGATAAAGGAAACTTCGATCTATAATCGCTCGTCCTAAACAAGCAGCAGAGGCAAAGCCACAGCTCTCCTTTTGAGGCTTCTAAGACAAAAAAGGTAGCTTCACAATTAGAACTGCCTACATTCCTTCTGCTAATATAAGACTGTCAAGTACTTTTTTTTAATTCACAGCAAGCATCAAACGTATTAAAAAAAATGACAACATACCCACACGCAACGAAAATTAAGGGCTCACTACCAGTATCCACCCAACAGTGTTTTCTGTCAAACATTTCAAAAATACCTCTATAGTCCTGCATGATTTAAAAGTTGCATGAAAACCCAAAAAAAGGGGATAAAAATGTAAACAGCAAAAGCTTAATTAGCTATTTTGGGATTACGAACTGCTAGAGGGAAAGAGATTCCTATGAAGTCACCAAAATTCTATTTCTTTGCCTCTGGGGAAACAGCTTAACTATTCCAGCCTCCATATAGTTGGTAAACCAAGGAACCGGTCACTAAAGTGATGTATTCTGGCCTAAGCATCTGTCTTCTTTCTTTCCCCATCTAGCCACCATAGCTGCCATATGGAGGACCTAAAGGTAGGACAGAGCTGCAGGATGGACACCCAGGGACTCTGCCAACTTACACAGTGATATGAGCACGAAATAAACTTTTATTAAACCACTAAGATTTCAGGGTTTATCTGATACAAAGATCAATGTCATCTACTTTAAGTAATACTAAAGGGAAAGCTAATGTGAAAAGTCAGTATTAAAAGTATTAAAAAGTTTCAAACTTGAACTGGTTTCTTGTTAAGAAAACAGCGTAAGATTCAAATCTACTAAGATTAAATTCTTAAGATCCAATAAGATTCTTAAGATCCATTAAGATTCAAATCCACTTTCCAAACCCAGAAAGATGTTTGTGATAATCACTTAAGCACACCAAAAAAAACAAACAAAAAAAACCCCCACAATCTAAAGTCAACTGTGATGAGTGATAAATATCAAACAATTAGAGAATGAAAGGTTTTTCAAAACTCATGACATGACCAGATGAGTATCTCACAAGTTACAGATTCCCACATCTACTCAAATCCACCACCCATGGAAATAAAGCATTCAGTTTTTTCACAAGGACTTGTAGGCCACAGCAGCCAAAGTTTTTTAAAAATACCTATTATGTTTCTTTGAATAAAAAATAACCACCCAATAAACACTGTCTAGATCATTTAAGTTCCAACCAAAATTATTCTTCAATCATCCTAAATAACTCAAGATAGCATAAAGATGAAGAGATTTGCTCTAGCTGGGATGTTCTATGGTATTTCAGAAAATTTAAGAAAACAATTGTCCTATTAAGTCTGCTCACTCAAACTAAAAGGCAAATGCAAAGAAAACGTTAAAAATCTACTATTTTAGAAATGTAACCTTCCTAGATCATTCATCAGAGTATCTGGATATCATGCCTAGACAGATTTATAAATTAAAAAATCATTGACTTACAGTTTGCCTAGCCTGGATACTAGCTGTCCCATCACAAATTATTTTCTTTAGGATTGGTCCAAGAGTTTTTAAAACCTCTTCACTTTCAATTCCAGGGCCCAACTGAATACAAAGAACCGCTGCTAATGCTGCAGCCGCACGCTGCTCATCACTCTTACCTATGAAAACAGCAAAGGTGAAACCATGAAAAATTGTTTGGAGAGGACTAATTTATTAAGACAGCAACTTCCCAAATTTGTACAATTCCAAAATATTATCTACCGTTTACAAAACCCCATAATACATTCTAAGCTTTGACATGAGCTGCAAACCTAGTGAGCTCAAACTCTGGAAACCGACCTGTCTCAAATCCTAGATTCACCACTTATTAGCCAAATGACTTACAACTCTTATTCTCAAAACATATTTCCTCAGCAGTGAAATGGAGATTAACATCTGTCTTAAGGGAGCACTATTAACAAGTCAGCAAAATAACATGTTTCAAGCTGACCTGACCTTCCAGATCTTTCATGTACTCATAGAACAGTGCTCAGGTAGCCTTTGAATTCGTCTCTCAAGCATTTCAGATGTATGCAGCCCATGAAGTAAACTAAACCTTCAAGGTTTCCCCTCCCCCAATCTTTTTTTACAATAAATAAGGGATTAAAAATAAAGGATTCCTGGGGCACCTGAGTGGCTCTGCTGGTTAAGCATCTGACCCTTGATTTCGGCTCAGTCATGATCTCGGGGTCATGAGATCCAGCCCTGTGTCCAGCTCCGCGCTCAGAGTGGAGTCTGCTTGCCCCTCCCCACCCCGCTTACACGTGCATGCTCTCTCTCTCTTTCAAATAAAATCTTTAAAAATAAATAAATAAAGGATCCTTTAAAACCATACAAAAACTGCAGACACCAAATTATTACCCAACAAATTAAAAATCTATAAAATAAGCAGATTGGAATGGAATTTTTAAAGGTCATCTAATCCAACGACCATTACAGGAAATAGTTTCAAAACAGTTGGCTGTGCTATCAATTATACCACTAAGAAGTTATATAACCTTAGACCAATCTCACGTTTCCTAGGCCTGTATTCTGTACAATGAGAGAGATGGAATGGATGAAAGGTTTCCAAATACCCCTTCTATGACAAAGCTTTCACCTGAGGTAAAATGAGAAAAACAAGGACATAAAGGTAATAAGCTCATTCAATTTAAAAGAGCATGTGTGCTTCCCACATTTCTGGTGCTAGAAATATTTTGTTAATAAAGACCTAACAATAGAAGATCATTATTCTCACAATGTTCTTCCTTGGCAAAATAATTAAGCTGGCAGCCCCAGATCTTTTTAACTTTGGTGGTTCCTAAAACTGAAGTCTGGTGATACTAGACTTAATCTTCAAGGTCTCTCTTCATTCTTAAAAGTTCTATGATTATAATATGACTTCCAGAATCTCTATTACAAAGTTCTAGAATTCAAATATTCCAAGGGATATCCTGAAAATGATGTCATCCACAGGTATGACTGAGGTTTTAAGTAATTGCAAGGGAAAATGAGCTATGTGATTATAATACTTTTTTAAATTTCAGGAAAATGAAGTAGGGTGGCTTTTTTAATAATAGCTTTTGTTAAAATCTGACACAAGCTTTCAAGACTTTCTTATGCATGAGAATGGCAATCACCTCTTCCAATATAAACAAGGATGACAATCCACCACAATCCTAGTTTCAAGCTGTTTATTACATAAACAAAAACAAAGCTTCTAACAAGTCTCATTTTGAATTTGAATAAGCATGGTGTATTCCTTGACAATTGTAAAGTTAAAAGACTGAGCCAGTCTTCCATTTCCATTAATAAATATTACTCCAAAGAAGGTGGCAAATTCCTTTTTAATTCTATGCCTGACTCAAAACATTACCTTTTTTCAGGCAGCGTTCAATGCTGTCAGTCAAAGTCATTCTTCTTTCCAGAATAAATTCATAAAGCATTTTTGAAGCCAGTGCATTTTTAATACTTTCAAGAGCTGCCTGTCTTGTCTTCGCACTATTTAAAAAAAAAAAAATCAGAAGATCAATTTGGAGGGTACCATAGGTCAATGACTTATAAAAACTACACTATTTCCCTCTCAATTTCTCTTTATAGATTTGTAGATTCTTTCTTTCTATATAATTGTCATCAAGCTCTAACTATTTTTCAGTAATTTAATTTTTATCCACAATTCACCTTATTACACAGAAGACATGTTCTCCTGTATTACGTATTTAAGCAAACTCACATTTTTTTGACACTACAAAAGTCTAGACTTCATGTTTGCATCTTCGGGGCTTTTTACTTCTGTTTGTTGTAAGTCAGGTCTAGAACTACTGTGAAATAAAATTTAGCTTTGCTATTTTTCACATCTGCAATAAAAAGTGGACAAGAGGCTTAAAGCAAAGTTTAGCTGTTCTTTCCAGCTGAAGATTAACTTTTAATCCAACAAATCCATTTCAGGTGTAATCAAATACAGTTATATGCTATTATGCTAGAATAATGACTAATCTGAGTCCATTTAAATTCTAGTGGCATGTTCCTGTCTATGTTAAAAGTCCAAAGGAACAAGAAACATTAAAAGATCCAAAGTAGGGCGCCTGGGTGGCTCAGTTGGTTAAG